TAAGATCTATGTGCCTAGACTTTTCATTATATACTATGTTGTATGATCTAGCTAAAGTGACTTGACTATCACAATGTATCAAAATATTTGAAATATCATCTTTAGCAAATGGAACTTCCAACATAAGGTCCATAAACTATCCAACTTCTTGACTAATGAAAGCAAGACCCATAAACTTTGATTCCATTGTTGAGAGAGTGATACATGTTTGTTTATTGCTCTTTCAAGAAATTGCACCCCTTGCTAGTGTAAATATTCATCCAATTATAAATTTATGATCTCCAACAATCAAAATCAAACTCGCATCGGTATATCATTCTAGTATGGCAGGAAACCTACCATAATGGAGACCAAGATATTTGGTTTTCAAAATATAACCAAAAATCATTGTGATGACCTTCTAATGCTCACCATTTGGATTTCTAGTAAATCTACTCATTTTACTAACTACAAATAATATGTCGAGTCTAGCTAGAACATTTCACCAAATTCATTAGACAACAAATTGCACTTGCATATTCTAATTTAGCCACGACACTTCTATCATTCTTTTGAAGCTTGACACTAGGATCAAATGAAGTGTTCACTTTATTGAAACCTAATTGTTTCAACTTATGAATCACTTTCTCAACATAGTGTTTGACTAAATTCATAACCCTCATTATTTCTCTTTACTTTGATCTCAAAAATAATGTTAAATAGTCCAAGATCTTTCATCTTGAATATGGAAGTTAGAAACTATTTGTTTCTAAAATTTCATTCATCTCGTTGCTAATGAGTAATATGTCATCAACATAGAGACAAAGGAATATCACAATGTTCACACGCACCTGTGTGTACAAACAATTGTCACAAAAATTAAGAACAAATCTATTTGAAAGTATGACAGAGTCAAACTTTTTATGTCATTGTTTCAGTGGTTGTTGTAATTTATACAAGGATTTGACAAGCTTGTACACATTTTGTTAATTACTAGGAAGCACATAAACTTTCGTTTACTCCATGTAAATCTCCTCACTGAGATCTCCATTTAGAAATGACGTTTTGACTTCCGTTTGGTGAACTATAAGGTCATACGGAGAAGCTAATGCAAACAATACTTTAATTGTCGTTGTCTTTTCTACCGATGCATGTGTCAAAATAATAAACATATTTATTTTTTTTTAAACCCCTTAAATACTAAAAGCATCTTTAATGCATATTTTTAATAGTTAAATTTTTTATAGTTAACGATGATTACAAAGAATTTGTATTGGAATGGCTATGACATGACATTTAATTCACTAACTTTTATATAGCTAACATATGCTATTTATTTTGAAACATATAATATTATTATTTATATTATTAATAAAGTCTTGTAACTTTTTAAATTACAATTAAAAAATATAAAATATAGGGTCAAGTTTTAGTTTTTTATAAGTAAATATCATTAAAGTAAAAACAACTCAAATCAACTATAAATTTTTTAAATCCTACAAATCACTTTGGACCCACAAAAAATATCTTAGTGTACCGTCACTATGTTATTTCCTTCTAAACAACCACTTGCATCCAATGGATCTTGATCTCTTAAGTAGATAGACAAGCTCACAAGTGTGGTTTGATATTATTTAATCCTTTTTGTCTTAGATAGAACCCTTCCAAAAAAAAGATGATTCTCTTGAAGCTAATGCTTCCTTATAAGTCTTAGAATTATCTTCCACTTGGAAAATAATAGGAATCTTACAAATAAAATTCTAACTAGATAAATATCAATAAGTCGAGAATTGATTTTGTTAGATCCTAGATCCTTAGTCCTTAAGACTTTCTTGCTTATCCTAAGCTCATGTTGTGTTTTAACAATCCATAAATAATTTTCGGGTTGTGTTTCAAAAATCTGTGGAGAACCTTCATCACAAGGTTCTTCATTTGTGAAAATCTGTAGAGAACATTTGAGTTTGCACAAAACAAATGAAAACTCAAACGTAAGAAAGAGAAAAACATGGAATTAAGCAATGAAAAGGAGAATTCAAATTGCATTTTTTTCTGAATTCGAAATAATCTATTTGTAGACTAAATAATGTTGTTTCATAAGTTTGCGACCCTTGATAAACATACCCTTTCACCACGTAATGCAACCTTTCTCACTAAGTGTTGCAACTATTCGAATTAAAAAATAACGAACTAGAGTAACGACCATTGCCACATGTGGCAGCTTGCCGCTGGAGAGCCATCGTACACGTCGTGAGTAGCCCGATTGCTCCAATATGTCGTTCCTAAATACCACCTACAAGTCGCCACTAGTACCTCTACGCCCATGCCTCCAGTCTCGAAGCCGGAGCTGGAGAAACCAACGAGAAGGAGTGTGAAAGTGATAAGTGGCATAAGACTTATGATCACCATACTTATTCATGTGACACTCTCTTCTCTTTGTCTCCTTCATGAATTAACAATTGTAACTCTATATAAGAAGCATTAAAATGAGTTAACTTTTCAATAAAATTATTTCCTATAAATTGAATGTTCATTTCCTCCCTTCACTTGCAATATGTTTTATTATTAAACACCAATGATTATGCTTTTAATTAATCTCTTCATTAATTACAAGAGAAAATTGACTTTTATATATGATAGGGGTAACACAATCATATAGACTTTATTTATTTAAATATGGATTTAATAATTCAAATAAAAGAGTTAGGGATCTCACTACATATGTCCCTTAAACATGTAGGCATATAGTATTTGATTTTCATATTGACGATATATCCTTAAATGGATTTTGAGATTTCAAATGATTAATTACAATTAGACATCAATTAAGTAACATTACCTTTTTATATTTTGGGTACAAATCACTATATAACAAAAATGTTTATAACCTTCCTTCAATGTACCTAATCTTAAATGGCTCACATGTGACATGCACCCAAAAGAATCTTGTTTAGAATTACACAAAACATAGGCAATAAAATGATGTTGAAAATAAAGATAGGAAGTTTGATATCATTGTTGACTACAAACATCTCCCATCCCTCATAGTGCAAAGTATAATTTGGAGGTAGTAATACAAGAAATGAGTGAAGCCCTTATAGTCCTTGTCCTCATCAAACACCTCAACTTTCCTTGTTCAAAACAACATGATGAGGAACTCAAGAAAGAAAAAACAATAATAATTCATCTTTGGTAAAAATCAAAGTTATCAAATTTCATGTTATATACACTTTCATGAAAAAAGATATAAATAAATATATAGAGTTATATGCACAATTGCTTTTATCTCTTCTCCCTTTGCATTTCATTTGTAGCTTTTTTTCTATTAATAGAAAATGAGTCACTTTAATATAGAAATTAACCCCACACGTTTTGCTATAGTATGATACTTCGCTTTCCACATTCTTGCTTTTTCTCCTAAATCTAGTAGGGAAATTATTGTGTATAGAACCATCTATTTTTTTTACCATCTTGGTTATTCACTAACCATATATAATCAAGCATATCCCTAGTTAAATTCTTGTGTAAACTTTTGATCATGTGAAATGGGAGAGGAGAAGTTGGACAAGGTTCCACTAAGAATCATGATGAGATATATAAACAAAAAGCCTCCAATGAATGTGAGAAGGGGGGGTATAGTAGTGATGATGATATAGAAGAAGATGAAGCCAAAATGGGGATCATTTTCCAAATTAATGAGCATGGTTTTGGTACTCAATTACTCAAAGAAAAGAGACAAAATAAGGGACCTAACCTCATTGACTACTTACCCTCACGTGACTTCCACGTGACACTCTTCTCAAATGTTAAAAAATTATAAGCATCATTACAATGTATTGAATTATTCAAACCTAACAAATAGAGAAGATTAAAAAGGCTTCTTATGCTTTTCAAACATTAACTTTTTCTAGATTCTTAACTCTTGCTAATTAAATGAAACAAATTATAACTTTTGACTGCTTTTCAAGCAAAACCTTTTTTATAGTTTCTTAAATATTGCTAATTAAGTCAAATTAATAACAAATAATATCTTTTTGGAAAAAAATTGTCATATTTTAATTAAAGTTAATTAATGTGTAATTATTTTAAATTGACACTTAATATTAAATTTAATAAAATGATATTTTTAACACACTAGATACAAATTAATATCATGTTTTTAAATCTATTCAAATTGTAAAATTTGATAATCATTGTTAGACAGTGAGACTTTCTTTTTTTCTTTTATAAATAAAATTATTATTTTATTTTTTAAATGTACAAGTTAGTTAGTATCATTAAAATATTTACTTATATTTAAATTACAAAAAAACATTGAATATTTATTTTATAAGTAATTCTTAAGAAAATATTATGATTTACTATTAGATAACAAATATTTATAAAAGAAAAAAGTTATAATTAAAATTTAAAACTCAAATTCTATTTAAAAACATGCTCACAATTAAACCACTAAATTGTCATAATAAATATTAATTAACAAAAAAAAAACACATTTAAAAATCAATTAACTAACAAAAGACAATCTCACTTTCAAAAATATTTTAATACATAGTATTTAATGACTATAGAGAAAATTTTCAAAGCATTCAAAAACCATTATGAATTTCCTCTCTTATTTTCATGAATTTCTAAAGTTTCTTAAAGCTTTTAGACTCATAAACAATCCAATAAAAAAAGACTAAAAAAGAAAGAGAGACATTTTTTCTTCATCTCTTCTGCTTTTCCTCATCTATTCCTGCCCTTTGTAATCATGACTCCTTATGCCATCATTACCATAAAAGTCTCTCTCTCTCTCTCTCTCTCTCTCTCTCTCTCTCTCTCTCTCTCTCTCTCTCTCTCTCTCTCTCTCTCTCCTCTCTCCCTCCCTCTCTCACATACAAACACAAAATCACAGCTATTATATTCATCATTTTTCTCATACTATGATTTTTCCTCATCTATATAAGCCCCTCACTCCTCTAACTATCTATCAATATCTCTTCTCAACCTTCTCATTTTTCATTTCAAAAAAACCAAACATAATGTGTTGTTTCTCTTCACAACATGACACCTTTTATGCTCCTCTCTCCAAGAAACATAGGAACCTTAGATTAACTCACCTCAAAAGGTACTATTTTTTTTTTATTCTTTACTATATAGTATTTTTTATATATTTTCATTATCTAACATTAACATGTGTGAAGTAGAAGGAGAACACAAGAAAGGAAAAAGATGATTATAGTGAAAGAAGAGATGAAGATGAAGAACTTGAAATTGTATATGGAGAATCAAAGCATCATTGAGGAGAATGAAAAGTTGAGGAAACAAGCTATGCTTTTGCATAAAGAGAATCAAGACCTTATGTCTCAGCTTCAAATTAAGCTTTCACTACAAAATATCAATACCAACAATAACTAGTTTTTTAATTTATTAATTAATTAATTAATTTTCTAGCAATAAGTTTAGAGTTATATAATAAAGATGAATAGGTAATATGTTGTATTGACTTCTTATCATATGAGTTAAATTAAAAGGTTTTTTTTTTGTTTGAATAATTTTTTTCAAGTGTTATTTATAATTTAATGTGTACGTGAATTCAACAAGATAAAATGGAATAAATAATGAGTGTGATTAAAAGTAAACAGTCCAAATAAATAAAGATTCAAATTATAATAATTTAGAATCTCTCTATAGATATAACCAATAATCAATCTAAAAATAAAGATAAAAAGAGTAGAATATTTTCACACCATTATTATTTATGCATTTTGGCTCAAATTGGCATATGTCTTGAGAAGAGAACAAATATTTGATCAATGAGTCTTCATAAGAGATATATAAGAGTTACTAAAATTAGATTAAAAAAATTTAAGATGACTAAACCCTAATTTTTACCCATATTATTTATACTTTGAATTGGATCTTACCGTTTATTAATATTAAAATGAGTTTTTTTTTTACTCTTAATTAACAAAGAGCTAAATTCAAGTCTTTTTATTTCAAATTTTTCCATTCTATTCTCAATTCTTTCTGTTGTTATTGTCTTAAAATATTTTTGAGAATTTTTAATACGTTCTAGACCCTTCTACTGCACCACGTGAATTTGCACATATGCTTCATGTTTTTAAAGATGTATTTTCGGACACATCTCTTGCACACAGTAAGACTATTTTAAGAAACGTCCCATATGTAGGGTTATTTTTATTCCGGAGATGCATCTCCAGAATAGTTTAAGAAAGACTTTAATTACTTATCAGTTCAGTAGATATTTCGAAGATGCATCTCCAGAATTATGGATGGTATTTTGAAACTTTCTGTCACCTTTGCATGTGAGTTATTTTCGAAGATGCATCTTCGAAAATATCTGATATAGAATCCAACTGCATGATCACTCGACCATTGTTGACATACTTGAGTTTCAATCAAACCCTTCGCCCTAAAAGCTCTTCATTCTCAATCCATTTTTTCACTTTAAATCTTCATCTTTTTAGTTTATCATATCATAGGGAGTAAAAGAAGATAAAATTTCAAGTAAAAGTTCTTCTTTTCCTTCTGATTGTTCACATTAATCATCTTTTTTTCCTGAAAAAAGTTACGTTGTGTCCGGAGATGTATTTTTAGAAGTTGTATGTGTTCATTTTAGAAGTAATTTTGCAGCAGTAGTAGCGCTTATGTTCTCTTATTGTTTTTATTAGATATGGTGCACCCCCATATTTTTCCAAAACAAGTTGTTTCTCCGAATGTCCAAGATGTGGTTGTTTCTCCGAATGTTCAAGGTGTTGTTGTCAAGACCTTATGTCTCAGCTTCAAATTAAGCTTTCACACATTTAATGCTATAAAAGATATCAATCACATATTTTGTAGGTACCCTTGCATTATTTTAGTTTGGCGTAAGATTGCGGATTGGGTGAACATTCCTTGGACCGAGGTGAATAATGTTTATGATCACTTTTTAGATTGGTTCTTGAAAGTTGTTAAGAAATCGTCCAAATCTTCTGCTTCATTCATATGGTTGGTGACTTGTTGGGCTATTTGGTGGACACGAAACAAAATCATCTTCAATGGCTTGATTGGAAAACACGAGGATATTCCAATGAGAGTAATCCATATCTCTTGGAATTGGTTGGGTTGTAGTTTTTCATCTTATATTAAATATAGTTTCTATATCTGGTTTAAATCTGCTCTCGATTATTTGATCTAGGTGTTTTTGTATTTTAGTCATTTAAGGTTTGTGAGATTGTTAGGTGTAAATGTTAAACTTCGGTGTGATTGATTCTTGTATTTGAATTGGTGTATTTCTAATATACTGTATACATGATTTTGTTACTTATAAAGAAAATTAAGCTTTCACAACAAAATATCAATACAAACAATAATTAATTTTTTAATTAATTAATTTTCTTATAATAAGTTTAGAGTGATATAATAAACATATTGAATAGGTAATATTTTAATTGTAACATTGTATAGAATATGAGTGTAATTGGATCAAATGTTTGACTTTTTGATGGTATGTTTAGAGAAGGAAAAATAACAAGAAAAACGTCTTGGTTTTCTTATCTTTGAGTGTAATTGTATCGAAGTCAAAGAAGTAGTTAAATTAAAAGGCATCTTTTTTTTTGTTTGAATAACTTTTTTTTAATTGAGTAACAGAATATATATATATATATATATATATATATATATATATATATATATATATATATATATATATATATATATATATATATATATATATATATATATATATATATATATATATATATATATATATATATATATATATATATATATATATATATATATATATATATATATATATATATATATATATATATATATATATATATATATATATATATATATATATATATATATATATATATATATATATATTTGTTGTGAATAGGATACTGTTAAACAAAGTATACACGGTTTCTTATTGATCAAGAAACACACAAGGGTTAGGGTTAACAAAGAAAACAAGGTAAAACAACAAGGAACAACAAGGATTGGTTATTAAACTGCTATTCTTTCCTTTCTCTTAGAACAAGATTACAAGTATACAAGAATAACAAAATAACCTCTCTCCCTTGAAATTAGGATTTTATCTTCCTATTTTTCCTTATTCTCAAGATTGAGAAACTAGCATCCTATTTATAATAAAATAGCACACTAACCTAATGGGCTTTTTAACAATTATCCATTACAAGCTAACTTAGGGTACAAGCTAACTTAAACAATTGGGCTTACAAGCAAGACCCAATTCAACATGCTAACAACCCTAGCAATATTTACTCATGCTAACAACCTTAGCAATATTTACTCATGCTAACAACCTTAGCAATATTTACTCATGCTAACAACCTTAGCAATATTTACTCATGCATGTTAAAACAAACTTCGACTACAACACGCATTACTTGCGAACAGACTTCGACCACACTAGAGTTCGATCCAATGTCTCACAAATCTCCACCTTGGATCTAACTCTATAACATCAAGAAACTAGCTTTCTTCATGCAGATTTATTAACTGCATACAGTGGAAAAACTTGCAACTGGGCAATGTCTTGGTGATCATATCAGCAGCATTATGATCTGTGAAACTTTCAGCACTTGGACTTCTCCACGCTCGATTACCCCTCTGATGAAATGCAGCCTCACATCAATGTGCTTGGTTCGCTCATGATAGGCTGAATTCTTCGACAGGTGTATTGCACTTTGACTATCACATTTAACAGTGATAACTCGACCTTGAAGTTTTAGCTCCTTTGCAAAACCTTCAAGCCACAATGCTTCCTTCACAGCTTCAGTTAGAGCAATATACTCCGCTTTAGTGGTTGATAAGGCAACGACCTTCTGAAGTGTTGCTTTCCAACTGATTGTTGTCCCAAACATAGTGAACACATATCCGGAGATAGATTTTCTAGAATCCATACAACCTGCATAATCAGAGTCGACATATCCTTCGATTACTGCTTTACTATCTTCACCCAAGGCTCCACCATAAATTAGGACTCTATTCAGAGACTCATTTATGTACCTTAAAATCCACTTCAATGCTTGCCAGTGAGCCTTTCCAGGATTCGCCATGTACCTGCTTACAAGACTTACTGCATATGCTATGTCGGGTCTAGTACAGACCATAGCATACATCAAAGACCAATTTGTCTTCTTTTGATTCCTCATAACTTCCTTATAGTCTCTAGGTTCTTTGTCTAGAACCTCACTTGCAGAGATTAAGGCATAAGCTATAAGATCTGCATACCCAAGTCTCTGAGGTGGCTTGATGACTCTCCTCGACCTGTCTCTTGCTAGCAGGTAGTCATTATCAGTCTCCTCATCTTCGACAACATCTTCTGTGTCTTCTTCGACTTCATCTGGGGTAAGTAATTCAGCATTAACATGCTTCACCTCAACAGGAATCTCTCCCTGTTCCAGCTCTTCGTCAGCATCATCAGTTTTCTTGAAAGCTATCTCTGCTTCGTTGAAAACTACATCTCGACTGGTGATACACCTCCTGTGACCTGGCTCTAGGCACCATAGCCTATAAGCTTTGACTCCTTCAGGGTATCCCATGAACATGCATTTCAGAGCTCTAGGTTCGACCTTGTCTTGCCTAATATGAGCATAGGCCACACAGCCAAATACTCTCAGTCTGTCGAGACTAGGTGGATGTCCCGACCAAACTTCTTCAGGTGTCTTCATTCCCAAGGCAGTCGAGGGACATCTATTTATCAGGTAAGACAGCTTCCGCCCAAAACACCTTCTTCAATCCAGCACTAACCAACATGCATCTAACCCTTTCAAGGATTGTTCGATTGAATCTCTCAGCTAAGCCATTTTGTTGAGGAGTACCTGCTACAGTCTTATGCCTTGCAATCCCAGACTCAACACAGTAACTGTTGAACGCTTTATTGCAGAATTCAAGGCCATTGTCGGTTCTCAACTTCTTAACCTTTCTGCCAGTTTGAGTTTCGACCAGAATCTTCCAACTTTTGAAATTCTCAAAAGTTTCATCCTTCGTCTTCTGAATGAATACCCATAACTTTCTGGAATAGTCATCAACGATGGATAGAAAGTACCTTGCACCTGAGTGTGAAGGATTCCTTGCAGGCCCCCAAAGATCAGCATGAATATAATCCAGGGATCCATGTGTTCTTTGATTGCCTTTGTTAAACTTTGCCCTACAGGATTTACCAAATACACAAGATTCACAAAATTCCAACTTTTCGACTTTGTCACCCCCTAGCAGGTTCTGCTTCCCCAATTCGACCAGGCCTCTTTCGCTGACATGGCCCAATCTCATGTGCCATAATTCTGTCTTTGACATAGATTTCGTGGATGCAACATTTGTCGAACCACTTACAACCTCAGCCTCAAGGGTATACAAGCCTTGTTTCTTCACGCCTCTCA